TCCAGCCCTACTGGGTGACTTTTTGACCACAGCAGCATCTGAGATGGACGTCTCAGCCTCAAAGGAAGACTCTGGGGAAGACTGAAGGAAGTGAACAGACTTCCTTGTGTGGCTCCCTGAGCCTGTAGTGTGAGTTTTACAGTGACTTACCAGTGGCTTTTCCCCCCAGTGTCCTATGTGACTTGTGCTGTCCTGGGCACAGGCAACCCTCAGAGGCTGGGCTAAGGGGTGGCCTCATCAACCCTCCTACTTTCTTCTTGCTGCAGCTGTAAATGCCACCCACTCGGCTCTTTGGAGAACAAGTGTCATCCCAAGACTGGCCAGTGCCCCTGCCGGCCCGGCGTCACAGGCCGATCCTGTGATAGATGCCAGCTGGGTTTCTTCGGCTTCTCCGTCAAGGGCTGCCGAGGTGAGCAAGCTGGGTCCTAGTGGGCCGTGGGAGGGAGGGGCTGAGGTCCTCTGCTGGAGACAGCCCACAGGAAGCAGCTGTGGTGGGGGAGATGGTGGGTAGATGCTGGCTGGTTGCCTAAGCCTGGCCTTGAGAACGTGGGGTGCCTGAGTGTGAGGAACGCGGTGTCCTAGTGGCGCCTCTAGTGTGACCACTGAGCTCTTGTATGTCTTCAGACATCACGTCTCATGTGAAACACAGGTTTCTCACCGGACATCTAGTACTTGGCAGTACTGGGTCCCTGGAACATTGCAGCGAGTGAGCCTCAAGGCTTGGTTGCTGGCTCCAACCATCTAGTCAGTCTCTGGCATGGAGCCCTGGTGTCTGCACTTGAGGACACTCGGGGTTTGTGGGAATCCATGAGGATTCGGGGGTGGGAGGTGCGTTTGAGGTCATCATTAGGTCCCCAGAGCTGCTCCTGTCCTCCAGACTGTAGGTGCTCTCCACTGGGAGCTGTCTCATCTCAGTGCCGTGAGAACAGCACATGTGTGTGCCGGCCCGGCTTCACGGGTTACAAGTGTGACCACTGCCAGGACAACTTCTTCCTCGCGGAAGGCGATACAGGGTGCCGGGAGTGTCCCGCCTGCTATGCTCTGGTGAAGGAGGGGGTAAGTTGCTACGCTGAGACTCCCCACCTTCAGGTTCGTTTCACACCTCCAGGGAACACCAGCTCCATGCTATGGACCAGAAGCTGCCTGCTTATTCACAGACCTCAGGCCTTACGTGCCCACTGAGTTCTCCCAGCCTCCCCATTCCAATCCGCCTAACCTGTCCTCTTGTCCTGGATGAGCCAGAGGCCTCCGATGGCCAAGGCCTCATCCTTACACAGCTCAGAGGGGATGGGATGACTGACCACACAAGCTGCGTTTCAAGTAGGGAGTGGGTAGGATTGAGGTCAGGAGTTGGAGCCCGAGAGACCCCAGGCAGAGGGCATCCTTGCAAACTCTAATGACCTACTCCAGAACAGCTAGTTCAAACCTCCCAACCTCCTGGGCCAAGTGGGGGCTCTGAGGACGTTTGGTGCTGTAGGAGAAAGTGGCATGTCCTGAGCTCTAGCTATGAGCCCGAGGGGCAAGCGGGCCAGGCCCGTAAGCCAGGCCACCTCCAGTTCTGCAAGACAGAATGCATTTTGCACCACTGGGTAAATCAAGCTACCACATGGCCTCCGGGTGCCTGGGACAGTTTTTCCTTCCAGATGAGCTCACAATCCATTTGTCATTGAGAAAGGCATGGAAAGTTCAGAGTCCATCGTTGCACTGGGGACTTTGGATCTAAGGATGCAGTGTTGTGTGATTTTTACTCTTTTGCCTTTTGGGGGCCCACCACCCAGCTCCCGATAACTCCCACATGGAGGCTAATTCTTAGTTATGAATGCCCAACCTTAACTTGGCTTGTTGCTTGCAGGATTTTCTTAACTAACTATCCTGACTACCTTTTGCCTCTGGGCTTTGATCTTTCTTACTTCTGCGTATCTTACTTTCCCTCTTACTCCGTGACTGACTGATGGCTGACTGGGTGGCTGAGTGGCTGGGTGGTTGACCCATGATGTCCTCCTCTCCTTCCTCTTGCCCTCTCGTTGGTCCTCTTCTTTGTTTTCCTTCTATGTATTCTCTCTGCCTGACGGCCCCACCCATCCCTGCTCCTGCCTCGCTATTAGATGTTCAGCTCTTTACTAGACCATCAGGTGTTTTAGGCAGGCAAAGAATCACAGCTTCACCGAGTTAAACAAATGCAGCATACACAAAAGGCACACACCTCTAAATAATATTCTCCTTCAACGGAGCCTGGGACACGGCCCTCTGTTTAGTGCGGTTGAAAGAGAACTGAGCCATGGCAGACAGTCATGTCCTGACTGGCTCCCGACACGCACGCCATGAATGTGACCGTTGCGCGCGTCGGTGAAAGCATGGGACTCAACACTGCTGCACACGCTGGCAGCAGGTGCCCATAACATCGGCATTGCATCAAGCTCTAGAAGCACGGTGGAAAGGATGGACAGAGATATGAATGGGGCTGTTAAAATGCCAACCACACAAGCATGAGGACCTGAGTCTGATCGTCAGAAGCCATGTAAAAATGAGACTCAGGGGCAACCAAAGGCTAGGAAGACAGAGGCAGCCAGGTCCCAACCAGACAAGCCTACTTGATGAGCTCCAGGCCAGTGAAGGATTCTATTTTAAAAACAAAACTAGACAACAAGCAAGCAAAAAACTCCAGGCGGTGGTAGCGAACACATTTAATCCCAGAAGTTGAGAGGCAGAGGCAGGTGGATCTCTGTGAGTTTGATGCCAGCCTGGTTACAGGATGAGTTCTAGGAGAGTTGTTATACAGAGAAACCTGTAACATAAATAATAAAAACCATAGACAGTTATTGGGGTTCAAGCTGAAGATCAAAAAAGCAAAGCAGCCAGCCAATAGCTCTTACCTCTACCGGGGCTGAAATGGAGATCCTGTATTCCCTGTGACTGGAAACTAATTCTTCTCTGAGACCCTGCTCCTGTCTTATACACCTCGCTAGTACTGGGATTAAAGGTGTGAGCTCTGTTTCTCTTTTAGACTGATTCACTCTCATGTAGCCCTGGGTGGCCTTGAACTCAGAGTGATCCATCTGCCTCTGTCTCCTGAGTCCTGGGATTAAAGGTGTGTGCCACCACTGCCCAGCTTCTATGGCTGTGACTAGCTTTGCATTCTGATCCGTTAGGCAAACTTTATGAAATCATAAATAATATATCACCACAGAAGCCCTATCTTGAAAAAATCAAAACCAAAAGAAAACAAAACAACACAACAAACAAACAAACTAAAAATAGCAGCGTGAGTGGTATCTAAACAGGAACAACTTCCAAGGTTGACACACGCATCTCCCCACACAAACACGTACACATGTGTACACATACAAGAACATATACACACATCTCCCCGCACAAACACGCTGACACACGCATCTCCCCACACAAACATGTACACATGTGTACACATACAAGCACATATACACGCATGCACTTGCACAACCAGCCTTCATGGGATTCCTTTTCTCTCTCTCTGTCCTTCCCTCAGGAGGGCAGGGGTGTGGCTGGCAGGGGGCCAGCAGGCGCTAGGCTGTGAGAAGGGAAGTAGCTGGTGAAATTGGGCAGGCAGGATAGGTCCTCGGGGTTGGTGAGCTCTTAGCACTGAGACACATGTAGGATTGGAAGGGGAGAAGCTGTGGAAAGTCTGGACCAGGCAGAAGCCAAGGGCAGCTCCTAGCCCCTAGAGACCCCGGCCTCTTACAGTTTTCCTTCCCAACCGTCCCCGGCAGGCCACCAAGCTGAAGGCCAGGCTGACGCTGATGGAAGGGTGGTTGCAGGGGTCCGGATGTGGCAGCCCCTGGAGACCACTAGACCTTCTGCAGGGAGAAGCCCCTCGGGGGGATGTCTACCAAGGTCACCACCTACTTCAAGGTACAGGGAACTGCAGAATGGGAGGCCAGGGGGCTGGGAGGACCTGGGCTGGTTGGATACTTTGGGAGCTCTACGGATAGTCATGACACCCCACAGGCCTATCCACCCATGTCCCTAGCCCGTCTATAACAATATTAGCATGGGTCTCTGTTTCCTGCCTCCTGCTATTCACTGACTAAAAGCTCAAAGCAAACCTGGTCTGGACTCATTCAACTATTGAACCACACCCTCTGCGAGCCTGGGGCACTGTTCCAGGTGCTGAACGGGGGAAGTCCTCTGGGGTTTTGACTCTTGGCCTGTGTGATTGCTGCCATGTTTCTAGCCTCTGTTGGGCACATCCCCCCCAAAAAAAGATTAGTAACTAAGAAAAGCATACCTGTAATTAAGCCAGGTGGAATGTGGCCTTGGGATACAGAAAATTTCCAGAAAGTTGAGACTGGACTGGTTACTTTGTAACAGCTGTGTTTGCAAGTAGCTGTGCTTCAGCAGTTGGCTAAAGATGAGCCAAGTACCTGTGAGCTGGATGAATCACCAATGAGATGGCCCCATGTGAGCCTCAGAGAGATTCACAGCACTGAACTGAGTTAGGGGTCCACTGCCGGCCCAGTGGTTCCAGAGGGCCTGCTTCCAAGTCCCTGTTTGTGGCTGATTGGCTATAAGTCTTAATTTGTTTTCTCTGGGTCTCAGTCTTTGCAGCTGTAATACAGATGAGTTTCTCCTTTGGTGCAATGGAGGCTGGGGGCAGAGTAGCACGGGGGAGAGGGGGGGTGCAGCTGTGTCCAGGCAGATGGAGACCTGTGATGGCCCCCGGGTGAGGGGACTTTCGAGTGGAATCCCAATCACTGATGATCACTGATCCTCTGGCTTCCCACAGAGACCCGGGAAGCCTTCCTGGAGCAGCTGGTGGGCCTGGAAGGTTCCATGAAGGCCACGTGGGAGCAGCTGCAGGTGCTGAGAGGGAGTGCCCGCTGTGCCCAGGCTGGGGCTCAGAAGACCTGTGTCCAGCTCACGGAGCTGGGGGAGACACTGCAGTCCTCAGAGGAGGAGGTCCTGCGAGCAGCCTCAGCTCTTTCATTTCTGGTACCGTGGTCTCCCCCAGCCCTGCTTCCCCTGTGTGGGAGTCTTTGCCCAGCCCTGCCCTTGACTGATGGCCCGTGGTGTGGTGTACGCTTTAAAAGATGCTTGGTGTCATCTTCAGACTGGGCCATACTGGGTCTCCTCTGACAGAGAAACGTGCTATTTGCAAAAAAGCAAATATATTTGAGTAGACGGTGAATACATAATGAAAGAGAGGTCACTGGGTTTCTCATGTGTGGGGAAGCTGCCCGCCGAGAGCTGGTGTCACAGTTATCTTTGTGCATTTATAAAATTATTGACACCATTTTATTCTACCCAGTCAGTTAGCCAGCTGTAATCCTCGACCTTCCAAGGATGAGCCTCAGTTTCCTTCTCTGTTCTTTAAGGTGAGACTTCCGGAAGGATCCAGCCCACCCACCAATTGGAGCCATCTGGCATCAGAGGCCCATGTCCTTGCCAGGAGGTAAGCCCTAAGGCTCCAGGATGTGGGGGACTATGCCCATACTGTTGACATGGGGGCCAGGCCTCTTGGACAGGCTCCAGAGTCAGGGTTAGCCTCTAGGATCTAGGACCAGATGAGCCCAAGAGCTGTTCAATGGGGAGTCAATGTTACCAGCATGGGAGGGGGTTGGGGTGGAGTGAGGCTGGGGGTGTAGACGTGTGGGAAAAAGCTTGCTCAATGGAACGAATCTCAGCATCTGGTGGCTTTAAAAAACCACAAGTTCATTAAGATGTAGTTCCTGGAGCCTGGGGAAATGACTTAGTCATGAAAGTGCTTATCACACAGACATGAGGACCTGAGTTCAATCCCCAGACCCATGTAAAAATCCGGGTGTGGAGACACTGACTTGTAATCTCAGCACTAAGGATACAGAGACAGGACAATTCTGGGAGCACCTGGCCAGCCAGCTCAGCCTAGGAGACACCCTGTCTTTCCCTGCTCCCCGAGACAAAAGAGTTTCCCTGTGTAGCCCTGACTGTCCTGGAACTCACTCTGTAGACCAGGCTGGTCTCAAACTCAGAGATCCTCCTGCCTCTGCCTCCTGAGTGCTGGGATTAAATGCATGTGCCACCACCACCTGAGAGACTCTGTCTTTTTTTTTTTTTATCATGCATACACTGTTCTGCATGTTCTGGAAGGTACCAGATCCTATTACAGATGGTTGTGAGCCACCATGTGGTTACTGGGAATTGAACTCAGGTCCTCTGGAGGAGCAGACAGTGCTCTTCACCTCTGAGCCATCTCTCCAGCCCGAGACTCTGTCTTAAACAAGGTGAAGCCCAGTAGTGGAGGCCAGCCTGATCTATAGAGCAAGTTCCAGGACAGCCAGGCGTATGCAGAGAAACCATGTCTCAAAAAACAAACAAACAACCCCCCAAAAAACAATAACAACAAAACTAAATAAGGTGGAGGGACTGGGGAGGTGACTCAGCATTTAACAGCAGCAGTCACTCTTCGAGACGACCTGGGAATCATTCTCAGACACACAAGTGACTCACCATCACCTGTGACTCCAGTTCCAGGGCTCTGCTGCTCTGCTGCCCTCTTCTGGCCTTCACGGGCACTGCAATCTATACATGCAAGCAAAGCACATGCATAAAATAAAAACAAATAAAATCTTGCCAGATGTGGTGGTATACACCTTTAATTCCAGCACTCAAGAGGCAGAGTCAGGCGGACCTCAGAGTCCAAGGCCAGTCTAACCTACAAAGCAAGTTCCAGGACAGCCTAGGCTACACAGAGAAAACCTGTCTCAAAAAACCATAATAGCAATAATAATTCTAATATCCTGAGGAGCCACACTTGAGGTTGACCTCTGGCCTACACACACACACACACACACACACACACACACACACATAGGGTGGGGTTATCATATACTTAGTAGTACTTTGTAGTTCAGTATCTCATTGTATGCTGAGACACATGACTGTTAGATGTAAACGTAGAACATTTTTTGTTTGTTTTTATGAGACAGGGTTTCTCTGTATTGTTTTGGAAGCTATCGGTCCAGCCCGGCCTTGAACTCACAGAGATCCGCCTGCCTCTGCCTCCCGAGTGCTGGGATTAAAGGCATGTGCCACCACCGCCCGGCGTAAACATAGAACATTTTTATCATCCCCAAATAAACCCTGTATCCAACTTTCATCATCCTTCATTCTCTACAGCCTCTCCAACTGGTCCTGGCAACTAATAATCGACTTTTTATCTCTATAGATTTGCTAATTTAGGACATTTCATGTAGGTGGGATCACAGGTCGGTACTCCATTCCTTTAAATGGGTATATAATGGTCTAACAAGCGTTGGTCATGGGGGCAGTAGTGGTGATACGTCTTAGTGTGTATGCAGGCCAGATGACAGCCTGGGGTGTCATTTCTTAAGTGATATGCAGTTTTGGGGATTCTCACTGGGTTGAAGCTCACCAATTAGTCTAACCCGGCGGCCCCCAAATCCCAAGGCTCCAGCTCTCTTCCTTCTTTCTTTCTTTCTTTTTTTAAAGATTTATTTATTTATTACATATACAGTGTTCTGCCTACACTGCCAGCAGAGGGCACCAGATTGAATTGTAGATGGTTGGGAGCCACCATGTGGTTGCTGGGAATTGAACTCAGGACCCCTGGAAGAGCAGTCAGTGCTCTTAACCTCTAGGCCATCTCTCCAGCCCTGTACCCAGCTTTTTTATGTGGGTGCTAAATCAAACTTTGGACATCATGCTTGCAAGGCAAGCATTTTGCTGACTAAGCTGTCTTCCTAACTTTGCGTTTAGGTCATTTTTTTCCACCTCTTGTGGAAAACAACCTATGATCCTAAATGTATAGAATCCCTAGTGATTTTCCTCTTTTAAAATTTTTTAGGTTTATTTATTTTACATGTATGAATATTTTGCCTGTACGTATGCATGTATGTGCATCACATACATTTTTCTCTATTTATTTATTTATATTTGGTTTTTCAAGACAGCATCTCTCTGTGTAGCCCTGGCTGTTCTTGAACTCTCTCTGTAGACCAGGCTGGCCTTGAACTCAGAGACCCACCTGCCTCTGCCTCCCGAGTGCTAGGATTAAAGGTGTGTGCCACCATGCCCAGCACATTTTCCTCCTTTTAAAAAACATGTTTATTTGGGGCTGGAGAGATGGCTCAGTGGTTAAGAGCACACATTGCTCTTCCAGAGGACCTGAGTTCAGATCCTACCACCCACATTGGTTGGCTCACAACCTCCTGTAACTCCAGCCCTAAGGAACCTGACTCCCTCTTCTTCACCTCTGAGGGCACCTGAACTCACATGCACACAGTCACACCCCATGCTTATAACTTAAAAATAAATACAAAATATGAAAATACATAATAAACCTACCCATGGGAGCTAGAAGGTGTAGGACCCCGTGGCGCTGGAGTCTCGGGCAGGTGTGAGCAGTCACGTGACTGCTGAGAACTGAGCTCCACGCTGTGCAAGAGCCATCTCTCTAGCCCAGTTTTCCTCTTCAGCTCGGGGGACCAAACTCATTTTAGAGACGAGGAGACAGATGCAGAGAATCCACTGATTCACTCACAGACACACGGCTTGGAAGTGACAGAGCCAGGGCGCAATCCCAGGCCGGCTTGTCCACTCCTGCTGTGATCTTCATTCGAGAGGCCATGTGGTGAAGGGCCTTGGCTAGTCCTTGTGCCAGGACCACAGGTGTGACTCTGTCCAGGTCACCAATGCTGCAGTGGCAGATGGGTGGGAAGTAGTCCGTCTTGCCGGAGACCCATGAAGCAGGACTCTGGGCACTGCCACCTCTGTGTGTGCTCTTGGTGACCGCCATGCCAATTCGCATAGCCACAGGGACACAGCCACCAAGATCGAAGCCGCAGCACGAAGGGCTCTGCTTGCCTCCAACACCAGCCACGAGCGCCTGTGGGATCTGCTGAGAGGGAGGGAGGCCCTGGCGGCCCAGCAGGAACTGGAGGACAGGTAAGGCATCCACAGGTGTGTGGAAAACCTTGGGCTCAGCTTCCAGGAGCCCATAGGAACCAGCCAGAGGCCACTGCTTCCAGAACCAGCTCCCTGGGCCTAAGCCCTTCAGGGTGTCTTGTAGGAGTGAGGCTGTGACAGAAGGGGTGGGCAAAAACTGGGCCCCAGGGTAGCTGTCCCTGCACCATTCCCTGAGTGTGTTCTGTCAGGTGCAGGGTGGCATCTTAGCTCTCGTTGCTGCTCCCTGGCACAGATTCCTTCCTTGCCTCTGGAGGCCAGGCATCTGGGCATCCCCGTTCAGCGTTGAGCTAGATGGCATGGTAGGGTGAAGGCATGTGGCCCACTTCCTAGAGCTGACTGCTATGTTGCGGTTACTCAGCTCAAGGGGGTCTCCATTTGTCAGTGCAGAGCAACACACAGTATTATCCTTCTCCTTGCTGTGACAAACCACCCAGTATGATTTAAAGGACAGGCTCATTCTTCTCACAGTTTGAGAGAGTTCTTCTGCTATGGTGATGGAGACATTGTTCTGGGACTTGGGGTTGCAGCCTGTGGCCCCAACAAGCCAGGTTCAGTCTCCTATCCTTGCTAACCCAATTAAAAGGCTTCATTGATAATGAAAAACAGAAAAGAAAAGAGATTTATCAATGTGGCTACACTGGAAAGAGGGACAAAGCTATCCAGTGGGGAACTCCTCACTGCCCCTGCCAGTCCATCTTTGGGTCCTCATGAGAGGTTAATGTTTAAGCAGAGACCCATCATTGTTGTAGCTCTTTTTCCTTGTCCTTTGATCTTTTGGGGGAAAAGATCCCCCTCTGGCTGGCTCGGGCTATAGGCTCTCCTCTCTGCATGGTTTGGACAGTAGGCTCTCCTCTCTGCATGGTTTGGACAGTAGGCTCTCCCCTCTGCATGGTTTGGACAGTAGGCTCTCCTCTCTGCATGGTTTGGACAGTAGGCTCTCCTCTCTGCATGGTTTGGACAGTAGGCTCTCCTCTCTGCATGGTTTGGACAGTAGGCTCTCCTCTCTGCATGGTTTGGACAGTAGGCTCTCCTCTCTGCATGGTTTGGACAGTAGGCTCTCCCCTCTGCATGGCTCTCAGGTTTTGGCTTTCCCCTCTGGCTGGTCTGGGCGGTAGGCGCTCCCCGATCCAAGCACTGGACTCCTGAGGGAATTCTTATTCCTGGGGTCCACAGTTTCAGTAATCTGATAATTAAGTGAGGGACATGACAGGCTCAGAATATCTTCATCTCTGTTGGGCCACTCACAACATGGCTTCATGAGGGGCGTGGGGGCAGGAACAGGAAGTGGGTCACGTTGCATCTACAGCCAAGAAGCAGAGAGTGAACAGGAAGCGAGTCAGGCTGTAAAGCCCCAAGGCCCTCCCTTGAGTGACACACTTCCTCAAGCAAGGTTCTAATAGAGGTTCCACAAAGTTCCCAATGCCACTACCTGGGGATTAAGTGTTCAAACACATGAGCTCACGGGGTTATTTCACATGCAGACAGGATCATACGCCACAGGTCAGCAGCAAGGACATGGCCAGTCAACATCACAGCCCAGGCAGCTGTCCTGCCATCCCAGGGAGCTTCCTCTGCAGCTTTCCAAGAGGACACAGGGGTCTACACAATGTGTGACTCTCAGGTGCACAGTAGCCTGGGGCCTGGACTGAGTGGCGAGCCCAAACTGAATAAGGAGATAATGACTCTGCTCATTTGAAAGCTTCAGAGATTGGAGAGACGGCTCAGCTGTCAACTTAGTGCTCTTGTAGAGAACCCGAGTTCAGTTCCCAGCACCCACATCAGGTGGATCACAACTGCCTGCAACTCTAGCTCCAGGGGATCTAATGCTTCTTGCTTCCCTGGACATCACAGGCAAGCAAACACACACACACACACACACACACACACACACACACACACACGCAGAGCCTGAAAGCTGAAGATACAGCCATTTTCTCAGGCCGGCTGCTAGGTCCTGACCTGCACCTGCCAGGAGTTGGGAGAGGGTTTTGCAGGTTAACATCTCCAGCTAGCAGCTTTGACAGAGATGGAGAGGGGTGTCCAACACCTGTTCTGTGGCCCATCCTGATCTCTCTCCTCCCAGGTACCAGGAGGTGCAGGCAGCGCAGACTACCCTGGGCACAGCTGTGGCAGAGGTGCTGCCCAAAGCTGAGAGGGCGCTGACCACTGTAAAGCAAGTCATTGGTGATGCTGCCCCACGTCTGTTGTCGCTGGGCACCCCTGGAGCAATGGTCAGTACGGCATCCCTGGAGCTCCTCGTGGGGTGGCAATGAAGGTTCTAGATTATGGAGAAGTCAGAGAGCCAGGCAGAGGCGGGCAGGGCTTCTTGTTAACTGGGAAGTGGCCTACTGAAGCAGGCAGTGCTCATCCAATCTTCCACTACAAGGCAGGAACCGCGACATGAGCAAGGACATCAGAGGGATGGGGGTGATTCACGTCCCGGTCCCTACGCCAACAGTGACCTTGACCAAGGGCTTCCCTCCCTGAGTTTCAGCCACCTGTGACCCTCTGTCCTGCAGAATCAGCCTCCTCTAGCTTAATTTTATAGGTGGGAGCTGGAGGGGATCTAGGGAGTCCTTCATTCAACCCTCGTCAGGTCTCACATCCTTTCCCGTCTTGTCTATTGGGCAACCCTGAGAGCTCCAGCCTCAGAGACCCAGCTTCACCGGGGCGCTAAGCTGGCTCTTCGTGCAGCTCACAGAGAGAGCATGTGTCAGCCATGCTCAAGGCCCTGGGTTCCACCCCCCACATCAAGAAAACTGAAATCAGAAAGCTATCCACATGCATTTGGGACGCAGGCTGCCTGCGGCTACTGCCTCGTAGCTTCTCCTGCTCTCCTCAGATACGGACGAGGGCTCCGGATCATACCTTTCTAACATCTGAAGCACATTGGTCAAGGTTCAGGTGGAGGAAGGACTGTGGATCTGGGGAGGTAGAACCTCACCTTGCAAGGAAGAAAGACAGTCATACCTGTGGGTCGGAACAATTAGCTGGAGTTGACCAGAGCTGCAGAGCTAGAAGTTGGTGGGGATGCGGTCTGAGCCTCCAGTGACAGGTTCCCCCAGCCTGGTGTCTCTGCAACCCCTCCTTCTTCTGCCACTGCCCTGCCCCTGAAGTATCTGAAGTTCCTGGGACAGCAAAAAGCACCCCGGGACCAGGGCTAAAGTTCCAGTTCTGGGTTAGTAGCAACAGGCTAACCCTCGGTGCAGCAGGGCACAGGCTGGTCCTCAGCAAAGTAGTGCACAGACTGGCCCTCAGCACAGCAGGGCACAAGCTGGCCCTCAGCACAGCAGGGCACAGACTGGCCCTCAGCACAGCAGGGCACAGGCTGGTCCTCAGCACTTTTCCCTGGACAGAGGATCTGGTTCTCAGCCCTACCTGAGCCCACAATCTCCTTGCAGCCTCAGAACTCCCAAGCCAGAAATCTGGACAGGAAAGTGAAGGCCCTGGAGCAGAGGCTGGCTCGGAAGGAGCGCCAGGCAGTCCAGGCTGTAGGAGCCCTGCAGGTGGAGGCTGGGGCAGCCCTGAAGAAGATGGAGCCCTTCACGCAGGTCAGTTTCGATCTGAGACCTGGAAGAGGGAGGGGCTTCCCCCAAGGAAACCCGGGATATGTTGGGGTGCAAAGATGGAAAATAATACTTACAAAACACTTGCAAGTCTCTCATGCCTCCCTCAAAATGCCTGAGAGCTTTAAAGGCGCCAGGCCAAAGGAAGGGAAGCCTGCTTGCTTAGAAAAGAGTATAGGGGTTCAGGGAGAGAGGACGGACAGACAGGCAGGCAGGCAGGTGGATGATAGAAGCCGTATCCATGCACCCTCTCTTGGGGTCAGTCACAACTGAATGGCTCTTGTGTCTCTCCCTCCCTTCTGCCCTCAGATACCCCATGCTCAGAGGCACCCACTCTGAGCAGCCCATGGAACTCAGTGTTAAGTCACAGAGCCTGGTGCTCAGTCCAGGGAGATAGCACTAAATCAGGAAGTCCTAGAATGACCGTTTCACTAGGACCAGCCTGCTAACATATAGAAGACTCATTTAGAAATAACTGTGCATTTTTCTTGGGGGCTAATTGCAGGTTTATGGGGAGGTTCTATGGACAGCACCCAAAGCTTTCACAACCTTCCCACAGGGTCATTTCATGTTGGTGTTTTAGCCAGCCACAGGGAAGGTACCAAACTCAGGAGAACAACATGACACCACCACCCAGGGACCCAGCCCACTGACCTGACTCCCAACTCCTACAGTGGTGGTAATGGCTTCCCCAGAGGCCCCTCGGCTTCCACACAAACCCAGGAGACAAGGAAATATCTTTGAGGAGAAAGGATGTACCCAAGGATCGGAGGGCCTGGCATGTACCTAGGCGAGCCTTGCTGCGTTGAGCACCCTGCGTAGTGTCCTCAGACCTGATCCACACTCGCATCTAGGGTGAGGAAGCCAGGAAAGGAGACAGCCTCCACAGCCCTCCTGGGAGCAGAGTCCTGTGAAGGCCAGGACCCCCACCTGCAGATGCTCTGCTCTCCACAACCCTCAGAGCCCGGCCTCCTCCGCCCTTGCTCCCCCAGCCTCAGGAGCAAAACCAGGCTTCCCTGGTCCTTCAAGTCTGTGCTGTTTATTTGTAGCAAATCATATGAGAAACCATTTTTTTTTCAGCCTCAAGCATTTTATTACTGAGTATCCACTTTGGAACTTCCAACAGCAGCAAGTTAAATAAATATTTATATATGCCAAGGAAACACAATGGAGCATAAAGCTTGCTCTAAGTGTCCGGCCACCCAGGATCATGCCCCTCCCCCCACACAAAGCCTTACACTTGAGCTGCACAAACACACTTTAGAGTATGGAAATGAAAGCATACTCCCACCTCAAGGGACAATTTGCCAGGTTCCAGTGACATGGAGCACATTCACCTTGCTGTTCAACCCCTCCTCTCTGGATCTGGAACATTTCATTGCTCCTGAAGTAACCCCGGGAGCCGGCAGCCTTAGGCAGCGTCTCTGCTTCTCCTGAGGCCCTGAACACACTCCCGCTCAGTCTCTGCGTGTGTGAAAGCGCACACCATGGAGCCCACGCCATGGAGCGCCCGTGGCTGTCAGAGGACAACTTTCTGAGTTCTTCCCTTTTTTTCTGACATGTGGGTCCCGAGGATCGAACTCTGGTTTGTCAGCCCTGGCAGCAAACACCTCTAACCCACTGAGCCATGTTACAGGCCCTGTGCTCTTTAACCCGGACATACGCAGGAACCAAGTTCCCTTTTAATTTTGATTATACGCTATTTACTTTTTGTGTCTGTGCACGGGTGGGGGCACACGTTTACTGCAACGTGAGTACGGGATTCAGAGGACAACCGTGGAAGCCTGTTCTTTCCCTTCTACCCAGGGACTGAATCCAGATCTCCAGGCTTGGAGACAAATGCCTTTACCCGCTGAGACATCTAGCCAGCCCAAATTCTTTCCTCAAGAAAACTTTTACACGTAGTAGGTGTTTCACTATGGCAACTTCCTGCATGTGACATGATTATTTCAATCATATTTCCCATGTTACCCGCTCCTGCCTTACCTAGTTAGCTTACAACCTACTTTTGTGTCTTTTTTGTAAGCAGTGCGTTTCACTGGGGTTGCTTACAGTCGCATGGGTAAGAACTTATTCACAGAGCATGACTTCTGTCTTGGTCACTGCTCTATTACTATGAAGAGGCACACGATCAGGGCAAGCAACTTATAAAGGAAAGCATTTCGTTGGGGCTGGCTTACAGTTTTGAGGGTGAGTTCATTACCACCATGGCAGGGAGATGGCTGGCAGGCAGGCACCGTGTTAGAGAAGTAGCTGAGAGATTACATCCTGACCCGCAGGCTGGAAGCAGAGAGGGCAAGAGTGGGCCTATCATGGGCTTTTTGAAACCTCAAAGTTCACACCAGTAATACACCTCCTCCAATAAGGCCACACCTCCTAATCCTTCTGAAACCATTCCACCAGCTGGGGACCAGGCATTCAGATATATAAGCCCATGGGGGACATTCTCATTCAAATTACCACACATGCGGGTACCACAGCAGTATCTACGCTACTGAAGAAAATGTCTCCTTCCTCCATTAGCTAGGTATAAATCCATAGGGAAGAGCTGGACCTTGTGCAGCTGCCCTAAAACATGCAGATCTTATGCAGGTAGCCACAGCTGCCCTGAGTACAAGAATTCAAGGTTCATGCCATGCCATGAAGACAGCTTCCTGTGACTCTTACATTCTTTGTGTCTTCTCTTGCCCAACCAAGCCTGAGTTCTTTACTGTGTAGTCACCTCTGGTGGCCGTGGGGGAACGATGGCTATTCTGTTAGGAGAAGCTGACGTCACATTAGGGATTGAAGTGTGTGGTTGTCTTTGGCTCTGGTTTTCTGGTCGTCCTCCAGGCTTCTGAAGATGAGGTTTTTCTTGAGATTGATCTGGGGCTTGGCATCCATATAAGCAGATCAGGATAATTTCCAGTTGGGGTCACTCTGAGGTTTGGGGCCTAGCCTGTCCATCTGGGGCTGGTTGACCTGCCTCCAGGCAGCCCCTGCCTTTCTTCTCCTCACAGCTACGCAACAAGACCGAAGCTTCCCTGACACAAGCTTTGTCAGCTGTCCAAGCTGCCACGCTGACCGTCGTAGGAGCCAAGACTCTGCTCGCTGACCTCGAGGGTACGTGTGTGTCCTGCTGAGCCCGAGGCTCTGTACAAGGCTCTGCCAGCCAATTTGCCTCGGCCAGGGATGCCTGGCTATAGGGAACGGCGCCAGGTAGACCAGTCCTTCTGCTGAATCCCAAGACTTCCCGCCTCACATGCCACTCACTGGGTACTGGCCCCTGTGACCACACGGGTTAGCTCCCAGCATTGTCAGCCCAAGCACAGAGATCCTCAGGAACTCAGAAAATAATCTGTTGTCACAGGCAGGGGTGTGGCTCAGGGGGAGCGAGCTGTCTAAAGTGTGCAGGGCTCCAGGTCCCATCTTCAGCACAGGTGGAAAGCAAACCAGGGCTGAGAGTGCGAGTCAGCTGGTAGGATGCTTGCTGGGGGTGCATAAGGTCCTGTGTTAGACCCCCCAGCACCAAGTAAACCAGGCACGGGGTGCACACCCGTGATCTCCACACGAGGGAGGATCAGAAGCTCAAATTCATCCTTGGCTACATAGTGAGTTTGAGACTACCCTGAGATACACGAGACCCTGCTCAAAACTAAAATAATAAAAAACAAAACAAAAACAAAAAACAAAAGCCCCAAATGGCTGGATGGTGGATCACACATGTATTCCTAGCAGTAGACAAGCTGAGGTGAGAGAGGACCTCTCTAGTCTGAGGCCAGCCTGGGCTACCATAGTAACTTCTAAGGCAGCTTGAGCTATGTGTTATAAAGGTTCTGTTTAGAGTGGGCCAGCTTTGATGACTGCTCAAACTTCTGAAACTTTAAGAAAACTGAAGTTATGCTGAGTGTCGTGTCTTAGGCCTTTAATCCCAGCACTCGGGAGGCAGAGACGGGTAGATCTCCAAGTTCAAGGCCAGCCTGGTCTATAGAGCAAGTTCTAGAACAGCCAGGGCTACACAGAGAAACCCTGTGTCAAGAAAGAAAGAAGGAAGGAGGGAAGGAAGGGAGGAGGAAGGGAGGAAGGAAAGGAGGGGGAGGGAGGGGGAGGGAGGGCGGGAAGGGCGGGAAGGGGGAATCCAAGAGGCTTGTTTCACAGGTGAGCAGACTGAGAAACTCCATCATTCACCCACCCTTGAGTGGGAGCTGAGCACCTGTCTCTCTGCCTCAAGGTCCGCCCTCTTGGAGCCAGAGAGAAGCCTTTGTGGTTCTTTGTGCACTCCACCTAGCATCTTCTCTCCATCCTTGTCCCTGTGGCAGACTGGAGATACTGGCTCAGTGGTGTTGGGGCGGGGCATGTTTTCTAGTCTCCTTGGGGCCTGGAGTCCTGGTTGCTCATTCTTTGGGGCCTTCTATGAAAAGGGTGTGGCTGTGTGCACGCTTATACAACGCATTTAGGAGAGTGTGTTCCGGAATGTCCTGTGCTATTTTAGGGGGCATCAGAACTGTGGAGGGCGGGCTGTAAGCCTCCCCCTGCCTGTCTCATGACTCAGTGCCCTCAGATTCCTTCTCTTCACCGAGATGCACATGGCCTCCCAGGTGTCACCTTCTCCTTGTACAAGGCTTTGCATGTGCTGGGTGGAAATTTGTCCCTGACTCTGCTCCACAACCCAAGAGATTAACTTGGAACCTCAAGCCCAGGCCCTTTCCGTCCTTTCCCAGTGCAGTCCAGAGACTGTGACCACCGTGTGATAGGACCTTCACAGAGATCACAATAGAGACAGCATCAGAGCAGATGTGTCTTCGCATTTGCTGAGGGCAGTGTCTCCTTCCTCTTGTTATTCCCTGGGGTTGCCTTGAGAAGGGGACACACAGATCTCCTGTGTCTCCAACCTCTGCCTCCATTGTCCAAAATCCTGGGGCTGGTCAAGCCCAGTCACCACCTGGCAGGCTCCCCAGTGTGTGTTCCCCCTGCCTCAGCCTTGGCTGCTTTGCAGGAATGAAGCAGAGGTTTCCCCTGCCCAAGGAGCAGGCAGTGCTGAGAAGGAGAACAGGCAGCATCAGGGCCAGGTTCCTGGAGGACTCGAAGAGGAAGACCAGGCAGGCAGAGAGGATGCTGGGAAATGCTGCAGCTCTCTCCTCCAGCGCCAAGAAGAAAAGCAAAGAAGCAGAACTGATGTCCAAGGACAACGTCAAGGTCAGGCTCGGGCCAACAGCCCCATTGACAGCCGCTTTCTCGCCCTCCATGCTGACTGCTGTGGGTCCTGGCTCTCAGCTCGGGCACTCGTGTGGGTGACCTCACTGACTCCTCAAGGAAAAGGAGTCCCTGGGGGGCCTGTGAGCATGTGAAGACTCTAGGCCGATCCCAGTTCAAGGGTTAAGTCGTATGACCAGGACTCACACCTGGGCCCAGTGGGATGTTGTCTAAACTTTTAGGTTTTTCTTTGTTGTTGCTGGATTTTTTTTATTTCATCTTATTTACCTTTTTATATAATTTTAAGTTGTTTTATGTGTACAATGTTTTACCTGCATATATGTATGTGTACTATGTGTATGCCTGGTATGGGCAGAAGTGAGAAGGATCCCCTGACTGTGAGCCACTGTGTAGGTGCTGGGAACTGAACCCAGGTCCACTGCTAGCCTTGAAATCACCGTCTAGCTGAGGGTGACCTTGGATTTCTAATTCTTCTGCCTCCACTTCCGCCACCCCAGTCTATCCGCTACTAAAGGTCAAACTCATGCACTGAGGCAAACACGTCTAACTGAGCCACATTTCCTGTCCCTCTGGCTTTCTTTATTGGGGCCAAATTCTAACTGCGCTCTCTCTCTCTCTCTCTCTCTCTCTCTCTCTCTCTCTCTCTCTCTCTCTCTCTCTCTGTATGTGTGTGTGTGTCTGTCTGTCTGTCTGTCTGTCTCTGTGTTCCTCAGATCAAATGCTTATACCTAAGAGACCGCTCCTCGTGGGTGCCTAAATTTCTGAAGGACTGGCCTGAAACTAGGAATTTCAGATGCAGCTTCTTGTTCCATTGCTCAGACTTTGGGCAGCTACTTCTCCCCCCCCAACTCTGTTTCCCCATATATAAAAATAGGTGGAATTTCCCCACTAAGGAGAAATGAGCAATTTGCAGAAACTTGAACTAAAAACACCCTGTCTCTAGTACATGCCTACTGATTGTGGGAATGAATGAATGAGTGAATGTTCTAGGTTGTGTGAGTGGGTGTTCTAGGTTGTGTGAGTGGGTGTTCTAGGTTGTGTGAGTGGATGTTCTAGGTTGTGTGAGTGGATGTTCTAGGTTGTGTGAGTGGATGTCCTAGGTTATGAAGTTGACTGCTTGGCCGCATGTCATAGGAACTGGTGGCATAAGCCTATATCCCAGCTACTTTGAAGGCTGAAGCAAGAGGATCACAAATCCAAGGCTCTCCTGGGTAGCTTAGTAAACCCCTATTTCAAAATATAAGAACTGGCCATGACAGGTGGGTCAATCGTAGAGTGCTTACCTGACATGTGAGCCTCTGGGTCCCAACTTCCGTCCTGAAGAGGAAAACCGGAGGACAAAGCTCTTCTTCCCCAAGGGGCTTATTCTTTCCTCCCCTGCTGCTGTCCTGCAGTTGGCCAGAGCTTTGCTGAGGGAGGGGAAGCAGAGCCACCGTCGTGCCAGGGGACTCGCCAGCCAGACCCAGGCCACACTCCGCCAGGTTTCTCGGCTACTATTAACCTCAGAAGCTCGCAAACAGGACCTGGAGGAGGCTAAGCAGGTGGGTGTGCCCAGCCCCCACGCCATCCCCTATGCCCAGGGTCTCACTCAGGGTTCCCATTGCTGTGACGAAATTCCATGACCAAGAGCAACCTGGGAAGGAAAGGATTTATTCCACATGTATTTCCAGATAACAGTCCATCACTGACAGAAGTCAGGGTAGGAACCCAAACAGGTGGGAACTCAGAAGCAGGAGCCGATGCAGAGACCGTGGAGGAGGGCTGCTTCCTGGCCTGCTCCTCGCGATTTCCTCAGTCTGCTTTCTCATAGCAAACAGGGGTGTCACCACTCACCATGCCTGGGTCCCTCACATCAATCGCTAACTAAGAAAATGCCCAAAACAATACAGAGAAACCCTGTCTCACCCCCCCCACCCCAAATGCCCTACAGTCTTGCCTATGGCCCAGCCTTATGGAAGCATATTCTCCGTTAAGGCTCCCTCCCCTCAGATGACTTTAGCTTGTTTTAAGTCGACATAAAACTAGCCAGAACTCCCAGCCACTCCAGGGAGCCACTAAGATGTTCTTTCTGGTCAAGGTGGCCTCTGGGCTGAGCATGATGGAGCGCCAGATTCAAGACTCTCGAGGGTCTTTGGTGAAGGACATCAAGGTCCTGTCAGAGCTGCTCACCAAGCTGGGTAAGGAGATCCCAAGGCAGGTCCCTGGGGGCAGTCATAGGACGCTTGCTCCCTGTCCTGAAACCCACAGCTCCCTTCAGCCTGTCCCCCTCACAGGGTTAGTAGCCACGAAGGCCCCCTGTAGGGCAGGGTGGGTGACTGGGATTGACTTCACTGTGTCTCCAGGGGCACAAGGGACAGGGTCTGCTTCCTCTAGTCTGGTGAGTGTGCGGCGGGGTGGGGGAAAACAGAAAACTCACTATGTTACGGACACCCTTGGGTCCCTGATGGCCGAGCTAGCCGTTAGGGAATAGACAGAATGACAGAAAAGCGAGGGGGCACATTGGTGAATAGGGCTTGATTCCTCTGTCCCTTCCTGGGTGGTGGAGCTTTGGACATGCCACCCAACCTCTGAGCTGGCTTGCCCACCCATGAAACAAGACTGAAAGCGGGTGACTTAGAGCAGTCAGCAGACACTGGTTCACAGGAAGGAGGCAAAAGTCCACAGGAAGCCGGGTGGGACAGCGCACGTCATCAGCCTAGGCCTTGGGAGGCTGAGGCAGAAGGACAGGATCAGGTTCTAGGTCAGTGCTGGGTACATAGTGATGCCTCAAAGAAGAAAGATTGTGGGGAGAAGAGCAGGCTCAGCTGTTAAAACCCAGCGACCTGCTCGTCTAGAGGATCCGAGTTCAGTCCCAGAACCCATGTCAGCAGTTCACAACATCCTGTAACTCCAGCTCTGGGGGTCCAACATCCTCTCTGTCCTCTGTGGGCAACCCCATACAGTCACATAGACAGACACACTTAAAAATAAAATAAGAGAAGGAAAGGAAAGCTCTGGACAGGCTTTAGTAAAAAGGACTTACATTGTTCCCTATGGATGAAGAGCTGGTGGTAGCCACTGGCTTGGATGGCCAGGACAGTGGTCAGAGAGGTTGGGCTGAAATTAACAGCATTTTTTTTGTTTGTTTGTTTTTCAAGACAGGGTTTCTCTGTATTGTTTTGGAGGCTGTCCTGGAACTAGCTCTTAGACCAGGCTGGCCTGAACTCACAGAGATTCACCTGCCTCTGCTTCCTGAGTGCTGGGATTAAAGGCGTGTGCCACCAACACCCAGCCAGCATTTATTTTTAAAAACTATGCTTGGATATACACGACATAAAATGTACTTTTTGACATTAAATATGTACATTTTAGCAGTATACTTTCTTGTTGTGTTTTTGCCTTTTTCTTTCTTTCTTCTTTTGTTTGTTTATGTAACAGCCCTGGCTGTCCTGAAACTTGCTCTGTAGACCAGGCTGGCCTTGAACTCACAGAGATCCGCCTGCCTCTGCCTCCTGAGTGCTGGGATCAAAGGCGTGAGCCACCACTGCCCGGCTAAGTACGTGTTTGACAACTGTGTCGGTCAGCCCCCTGCTGCTGTGATGAACTTCCGGAGGCAATTAACTTAAGAGCCGCAAAGACATGAGTCAGGAATGCGGCTCAGTGTTAGAATGCCCATGTAGCAGGCACTAAGTCCTGGGGTCCATCCGTGGCACTGCAAGAGAGGATGCAGGGAGAGGAGGAGATAAAGGTTTGCTTTGGCTTTGGGTTTGAGTCCATTGACTTTGAGGCTTTGGCAGCTCGGTGCTTCCTGGCAGTAGCACACAGTGGCAGAGGCCTGGTCACCATGGTCAGGAAGGAGCAGAAGTGCTAATATCCCCCAGGGCACATTCCTGGTGACCTAGCTTCGTTCCACCAGTCCCCACCTGCGAAGGGGTCCACCACCACCTCCTCATGCCACAGAATGGAGACCCAGTCCCCAGAGCCTGGGCCTCTGTCATTAAGCAATCACATTGTTGTGTCCCCATCATCACCATCTATCTCCAGGACTTTCTTGATTGTCCAAAGAGAAGTGGCCCATTAGACACTGACTCCCCATCACCCTTCCCTGTGCCTGCCTCCTTTCTGTGGCCTTGATCCATCTCTCTCTGCTCCCCAGTACTGGCACTAAAGGCATGTGTCACTGTGCAGACCAGAGTGGCCTCCAGCGCACAGAGATCAGCCTGCCTCTGGTTCTCAGGCACTGGATTAAAAGCATGGACTGCTGTGCCTAGCCTACATTTATTTCCTTTGCTCATTTATTTTGTGTTTGCACGTGTGCTTGTCACAGCAAGTAGATGGAGGTCAGCTCGTCCCTTCCACAATGTGGGACTGAACTCAGGTCATTAGTCTCTGTGAATGACCCTCTACCTCATATTTTGAGATAGGGTCTCCCTGAACCTGGAGCTCATCGATTTGGCTAGGCTAGTTGGCTATGCTGGCTCTAATGTCAGCACACATCAAATGAGGTTCCAGTTTCAGAGATCCTCTTGTCTTGTCTCTCCCATATGCAAGTGCCATCGCGCGCGCACACACACACACACACACACACACACACACACACACACACACAATGAATAAACATAAAAATTTAAATGATGCAGTCCCTAAAGGCTGCCACCTCAGGAAGCCAGGGTTCCATCAATGGATAAATCCACTGATGATGTAAGGGTTTCCATGATCCAATCTCCTCCTGATGGTGGGATCCTTCAGCTGGGGACCAAGCTTTCAACCCATGAGCATTTTAAGAGGCACTTTGTATCTGTAAAGCAGCCCTCCTTTGCCCCTTTGTGCCCTCAGACCCAGCATTCTTTGCTTGGGAAGTTCAGAAGAACCTGGAAGGATTGGAAACCACTCGAGGCCAGACAGTGGTGATGTACGCCTTTAGCATTCAGGGGTCAGAGGCAGGAGGATCTCTGTAAGTTCGAGATCAACCTGGTCTGCAGAGGATGTTCCAGGACAGGCAGGGCTACACAGAGAAACCCTGCCTCAAAGAAACCAGTAACGCCTGGCATTGGTGGTGCATGCCTTTAATCCCAGCACTCGGGAGGCAGAGGCAGGTGAGTTCGAGGCCAGCCTGGTCTACAATAGCTAGTTCCAGGACAGCCTCCAAAGCCGCAGAGAAACCCTATCTTGAAAAACTACAAAAAAAAAAAAAAAAAAGAAACCAATAACAAAGGAGCAAACAAAAAGAAATCACTTGGGACTGATTTCTGCCCTGTCACCCTCCCACCCAGTTGAGCCCATTTTTCTGTTGAACATCACACTTGATGACAAGGTGACAAGGGGACCTTGGACTCCATGCTACCATCACCACACTGCATTCCTGTGTGAGCACCTAGCCCCACTCCTCGTCTCTTAGAGAGGCTCATTCCTACTAAGTGGGAGGAATTCATGTGTGGCCCTGGATCCTGCTGCCCTTCCTGCCGCATGCGGCCCTGGCCCGTCTCAATCTGGATACCCAGATGTGTGCTGACATTAGAGCCAGCATAGATCCTGGGACTTCTCTCCCACAGTTTTGTAAATGAGGAAACAGGTTTCGTACGCCTTAAAAAAATTTTAATGGGCTAGGAAATGGCTTAGTGGATAAAGATGCCTGCTGCCGAGCCTGATGACCTGAGTTCCAGTCCTGGCCCCGTTATGGAGGGAGGGAACAACAGCAAATAAAATATAACTAGATTATTAAGAATTAAAAAGAAACCACCATGTATAGTGATGTATGGCTTTACTCCTAGCACTCGGGAGATAGAGGCAGGTGAATCTCTGTGAGTGGGAGGCTAGCTTGGTCTATAGAGTGAGTTCCAGGACAGCCAGGGCTACACAGAGAAACCATGTCTTGAAAAAAACCTAAAATAAATAAATAAATAAATATTAACTAAAAGCCCAACCAGACGTGGTGGTACACTTCTTTAATCTCAGCGCTCAGGAGGCAGAGGCAGGAAGATCTCTAGTGATTCCAAGTCAGCCTGCTCTACGTAGCAAGTTACAGGACAGCCATGATTAAAAAAGAACAACAAAAAAATCACTGAGACCTTGTTCAAAGATTTTTTATATTACATATGAGTGTTTTGCCTGTGTATAAATGCGCCATGTACATGAGTGCCCACTGAGGCCAGAAGAGAGTGTGATATCCCCTGGCACTGGGATTACAGATGGCTATGAGCTGCCATGTGGGTGCTGGGAACTGAACCTGGGTCCTCTGCAAGAGTAACACCTACTCTCAACTCTGCGTGTGAGCTCCATGGGTTGGACACCCAGGCCTTTAACCCCTTCTGCATCCCTTCTTAGCCCCTTTTCCCCAGTAGGTGGTGGCCTGACCAGGTTCTGGGTGTCTGACCTGTAGGGAGCTGGCCTCTGCTGACTCTGCCTGTGCTCCCCCACAGGGTCCCTGGATACCCACCAGGCTCCTTCTCAGATCCTGAACGAGACCCAAAGGGCACTAGAAAGCCTGAGGCTGCAACTGGGTTCACATGGAACCCTGCATCGCAAGCTGAGGCAGTTGGAGCAAGAGTCTGCACGGCAGGAGCTGCAGATCCAGAGCTTTGAGAACGACCTTGCTGAGATCCGCGCTGACAAGCACAACTTGGAGACCATTCTGAGCAGCCTGCCAGAGCAGTGTGCCAGCTAGCCCCTGGCATGCCCTCCCCACCTTGCTGTCTCCTGCCCGCTCCCCATAGGTGTCCCAGGTCTGCCTGCTGTGAGCTCATGTGAACGGCCACACTCGCTTACTGGTGTGTCCAGACCCTCTTCCGTGTGAGCAGCAGGAGTGAATCCGTGTTCATAACTCCACAGGTGGCACTGTGTGCAGACCTACGTGTGTGCTCCCTGGATATGCATCAGCACATGCGTCCCCAATGTCAGTAAGATGCTGCATTCATTCGTGTGTGTGTGTGTGTGTGTGTGTGTGTGTTGCACTTGTGTGTGCAGAACCATCTGTGCATGCATACATATGACAGTACAGAGCTGTCAAGAGGCAGCCATGAGCTTGCATCCTGCATGAATCCCATTATGGGAAATTCCCTGACATATCTACAACCCTCCCTTCAGAGAGCAGAGCTCAAACAGGGGTGGCACCTCCAAAGCTGAGAGGTTATCCACAGAGATCTTGAGAAGGCAAATCCCATGCCCGTGGTCACGGCGCTGGCCATGGGTCTACTATGCCCCCACATCACCCACTGGTCACCCAGCAGCTCTAAGAACTAAGGTGCCAGGCAGATCAAGAAATGCCAAGACTAACAGGATTCTCAGAAGCGACATCCAGGGCCATCGTGTGGCCTGAAAGGCCCACAGGGCAAGACACAGATGTCATGGTCTTTTGTGGACTCTTCTTCCCATGGGTCTGGATCTGCAGCCTACTCACTGAAGGAAGTCTCTACCCAGACCCATGCCCCTCCATCTCCTGATCTACCTGAAGAACCAGGCTCTTCAGGGTCTGGGTCATGAGTCCTCAAGTAGTCACTAGGAACAGCCCTTTGTGCTCTGCTGACCTGGTTAGCCTTTGATTGGCACTTCTCAAACCGGTGCTGTGGCTCCACCTGCCATGAAGGATGCCACAGGGGTGTGGAAGCCTGGCTGTCATTCTAGGCCTGCTGCCCATGGCTGCCTCTGCCCAGGAATCCATGGCATTTCTTCCTGATGTCCCCCCCTCTTTTTCTGGGCCTTCTTGTAGAACACAACAGGGTCTAAGCTCTAGGGTAACAGCCGCCTTTACAAGCCCTGTCCCTTCCCCAGGTCCCAGAGGAACTGATGGTGATGTGGACTGATTCTGATTATGAGGAAATAAAGGACCCTTTTCTGAGCCAGGTGTGTGTCTTTGATGGGCACTGCTGGTGGGCAGCCAGGGCCTGCTGTGGGTATGCATGGAGCACCTCTTTGTGGTTGGCCCTGCAAGCAGGTGGAGCCTATATTGGTGATCCCAACATGTGGGAAGGAAGTTAGCAGAACTGGACTCATGCCATGCCAGGATCTGTCATGACAGGCTTTGCAGGGGTCATATTACCATCCCCTTTCCTTTCAGATGCAGGGGACTTTCAGACAAAGGCCAGGGGAGAGGTGACCTTACAAAGAGGTCTTCAACTGATCCTGCTTCAGGGTGGAGACCCTGAGGCAGGAAACTGAACTTAAAACTGTCCAGGAACTCTACAAGGAGGATGGAAGGATACCGTCAAACAGGACGAAGGCTTGGGTCTAGGCCTAGAAGGGTGGAGAGACAGAGAGAGAATGTCCCAGATAAGAGTAAGAGGGTAGACAACTACACACACACACACACACACACACACACACACACACACACACACACACACACACACACAATGGGTTATAGGGCAGGGGTCTGGCCAGCATAGGTCATTGCAAACCTAGGTTAGGACAGGTTGTAAAGCACACTCTAGTCTACCAAGGCTTTTAATCAAACCAAAAGGATTCCCAGATTAGCTTCAACAGAAAAGCGGTGGTCATTGGAAGGGTGATTTGGAATCGTGGACTAGGAAAGGCTGCCAGGCTACAGAGAAGCCTAGAGATCGTAACCTGGAGCTGCTGTGGTGGGTAGCTTCTTTCTTCTGCCTCCTTCCTTGGTCCTGGCTCTCTGCTTTGTCTGTTTGCTTAGGTCTTGCCTCTGCAAGCTAGCTTTCCTTATCTTTCCTTCCTTGTTTTAATTTCTTTCTCTTTCTTTTTTGTTTTCTGGACAGGTTTTCTCTGTATAGCCCTGGCTGTCCTGGAACTCTCTCTGTAGACCAGGCTGGCCTCAGACTCAAAGACCTGACTGCCTCTGGCTCCCAAGTGCTGGCATTAAAAGTGGTTGCCACTACTGCCCAGTGTGCCACTGTCTTTCTTGAACATGATGACATTGTACAATCCCCTCCCCCAAAGTCCTGGGCTTGCAAATTATTAGTTATCATTTTGTTTTGATATTTATTCATTTTTATTTTATATGCATGCATGTCTGGGAACTATATGCACGTTTCAAATCCTCTGGAACTGAAGTTATAGACAGTTGTTAGCTGCCATATGATTGCTGGGAACCAAACCCAAGCGGACAAATAGACAATTCTTTTAACTGCTGAGCCATCACTCCAGCCCCAGGTCAAACATCTGAGTGGTCAGGTCCCCAGCATGGTCAAAATAACAGGGACTCCTGGCCCAAGGCTTTGTGATGAGACATGCCCTATACCTCACTCCTGGCACAGTGTGGGTGGGGCGGGGCCAGTGTCCAGAGAAGAGGCACCTTCCTCCAGAGAGAACCTTAAAGTCAGGGTGAAGGCGAGGTTGATTGGTGGTTTTAAGCTGAGTGAGACGGACCTGGTGGGTTGCCAGGGTCAGGGTAGAAAGGCTGAAGATAGGCAATTGGGGAAGAAGCTCTTGGCATATGATGCCAGCCAAGGGAGTGGGGGTTCTAAAGCACACTCTGGGGCGGGATCTGACATCCTCTGGCCTTAACCCAGTTTGTCCGCTGACAGACTTGTTCAACCCCTACCCACTTGAGCAATGATGCGCAGCAAGGCCCAGTCCCAGCGTCCCCAGTGGGTGGAGGAGGCCAGGCTTCTTCTCCATTCCTGGGTGACAAGCCTCAGGCCTGACATGTGACTCATGCAGTGTGGTCATGCCTGGTGTATGCAGAGCCCCTCGAAGGCCCAGAGGTGGGGCTGCTCACGACTGAGCAGAATGAAGCCATCGGCTGAACATGTGGCTGACAAGGTGTCCAGCTGAGCAGGAGAACATGAGGTGGCCCCTGCCCTATCCCATCAACAGCCAGGAACAGCTGTTGTGTAACAAGTCTCCTCTGAGGTTAAAACATTCCGTCCTGCAGGGCAGCGCCTAAAGTAGGGAGCTAAATAACCAAAACCAATAGCTTCAGAAACTCCCTGAAACTGACCAGACTCACTAGGCCCCTCCCTGACAGGGTAAGCAGAGCCTCCCTGCAAAGCTCTCATAACAAGAAGAGCTGCCGGAGAGACTAGAGCAACTGAGGTGTCTGGAAGGGACACTCTCCATGCAACCTTACTGAGCTGTCTGCAGGCTGAGCAGTGTGTCCGGGGCCCAGCTTTGTGAGCTGTCACCCATGCAGCAGAGGGCTTTGGTGATGCAGCTGTCTGTGAGTCATTTCTTCTCCTGTAAGCAACCCCTCACCCATATTCTTGTAAGTAACCCCAATAAAACTCATTGGTTCACCAAGCTGGACTTTGGTGATATCCCTACTTGGATCTGTCCTGGGTTCCCTAACTGGGGTGAGTAGGTGTGTGTTGCATCTCCCCATTTTGTGAAAGGTTTTGGCACACAACAGCTAACCCAACTAGCTATGAGACTGGACCAATGAATGCCCTGTTCTGAGCCCAGTTCCTGCCTGAACTTTCAGAGGGAATACTACCATGCTGTTTTGAATTCCCAAGCCCTTGTCAGTCCTACTTCTACACTCCACAGTCCCTGCCCCTGTTTCCCACATTCTGCTCGGTAGGGAGCTTGGATCAAGTGTCCAGGTTCAGACCTTGGGGTGAATGGATAGGGAGTGACGTAGGAGCAGGGGTCCATGCCCTCTGAGCATCTTAGCTCAGCTTAGCCCCATTTCATTCTGTATGGCTCCTCTCTCTGTGAGCCTGAACATTTTCCTCCCCCCGGAGGAGAAAAACAAAAAACAATCATCTGGTCCCAGGATCCCAGACCTGAGACAAGTCTGGGGAAGGGGAATTCCTGGATACAGTCCCCAGAGATGTACTTCGGGTGGTGGAGTCTCCTTCCTCTGGGCAGGAAAATCCTGCTCTGTTGCCCGTGTCCACAGTTTAGCAATTGGAGGAAGATCGGATTGGACACTAGAATGCACGGCCTGGCTTCATCTGTAGTCACCAGCTGTTTTCTTTATCCTCTTAGAGGAGTTGTGTTCCAGGCTTCAGCTTCCAGACTTTTCTTTCAAATGGGCATAGGTTGGGGGATGACACACACAGAGGCAAGCGTCAGGTAACCGTGGGCGCCCAATAAAGTCTTTTTTTTTTAAATCAACACATACATTTATCTAATTGATTTAATTGGTATCATAGTGGCACTGCTGGGCAAAGGCGACAGCAAGGTGACAGCCTCTGTTGGCACTTGATCTTCACAAACAGCTCTGTCACAAACTTCTCACTGAGTTGTGACATTGACTCTTCTGGTGACAGGAGAGAGGGCGGTCCCGTTGTGCATTTTCTGCGTCCTCCAGTAGAGGGGCGGCGGCGGGCTAGGCGTCCAGCGAAACAGTTGCTTTGATGCCCCGGGCGCGCGCGACCGCGGGGAGGGGCGCAGGAGGCGGGCCGCCGGCGGGGCGGGGTGTGTCCGGCCGCGCGGTCCCTCCGCCCCTGGGTCCCATCGCCACACGCCGCCGAAACTCTGGACCAGGCGCGCTTTCCTCCCCGTCGTCCCTCGCCTTGGCCGGAGTCGGGTACACACCATGTCGGTCGCGGTCAGCAACAGGTTCCAAGGTAGGCGCCTGCTGTCCAGCGCTGTCCCGCGCCCGGCGTCCCCCGGTCGTCACCTGTGCGCGCGGCGCGGCACGCGCGGGAACTCGGAGGGGGCGCGTGGCCCGGGAGGTCGCCTCGCTTCCCCGCTGCCTCTTTGTCTCCCGCAGGAGGGAAGGCGTTCGGCTTGCTCAAAGCTCAGCAGGAGAGGCGGCTGGAGGAGATCAACCGGGTAAGCCGCGCCACCGCGGGCGACAGCGTACAGGTTCCTTGCGCCCCACTGTGCCTCTCCATCCCCTCCAGACAAAAATCAGTCCTTTCCTCCCCCATCCCTGGCCTTCCCCAGTTGCATTTCTGCCCCCTGCCGTGTGGCCTCGACTCCAGGTAAGTCCACTCCACCCCTTAGCTCTCTGCCTTGCGGTCTCCGGATGCAAGTAGTAACACTCTGACGAGGGAGGTGGGGCTGGTGAAAGAGTCCGGTGCCGGCGGGCAGAGGCTTCCCGGGAGTCCGCTGGGAACCACCGAAGGCTTTTGGCGCCAGGAGGGACCCCTGGGCCAGTGCTGTCTCTATGGACCACGGAACTTAACACTGGGGGTTGGCTGGCAGATCCTGGCGTTTCCCTGTCGCCTCCCACCTCCAACACAGCTCTTTTCCACCAGCTTTTAGAAAAGTTGCCCGAGGGACTGCCTTTTTTTTATTTTTTTTAAACCGGTCCAGGGAAGTTGTAGAAAGAAATCCTTCCGCTGCTGCCAGACACACAATAGCAGCTCCGTAGTTTGCTACTGAGCTTGTAGATCCCAGGAGATAAAGAAAGGTGTCAGGGCCTCCTGGATTGGCAAAGCACCGAGGTGGCACTGTCTGTGGCTTTACGGTTCCCAGAATCAGGGTTCAGACATGATGTCTACAGTAAGGGTTTCTCACCTCCCGCAGGTTCACATTGTGAGCTCAGTAAGGCTTGGAGCCGAGCTGGTCGTGATCTGGGGGTCTGGCTCTAGAGAGACATCCCACTGGGGTATAGAGTTCTCTCTCTCTCTCTCTCTCTCTCTCTCTCTCTCTCTCTCTCTCTCTCTCTCTCTCCTCTCTCTCCCTCCCTCTCTCCCTCTCCCTCTCTCTCTCTCTCTCCCTCTCTCCCTCTCTCCCTCTCTCTCTCTCTCTGTACTGGAGACTAAACTCAGGACCTTCTCCATGCTAGGCAAGCACACTACCTTTGAGTGAGTTATCAATACATAGGGGGCAAAGGGAACCGACTGACACAGGCTAGGCATTTCCCCTTATTTTCCCTTTGGTCTTGGTGTACCCAAGGGGACAAGCAAGGTTCCTCCCTGGTGGGGAGCTGGGTCAGCACACTGGAGGTCATTGGAGATGTGGGGGCTGTGATCCCTTGAAGTGTTTCCTCCCTATCCCTGTCTTCATTTCCATACACAGCCTATACCTAGATAGGCATCTCTTCCCACCAAGCAGCTCCAGGAGTCCCTGGAAGGCTCTGGACTCTCTTATACTACCCTTCCCATGCTCCTCAGCGCTTGTCTTAAAGCATGGCTTCAGGGGTTGTGCACATCTGGCTGGGCTCCTGGTGGGCCTGCTGGGCTTCTGGAAGGCCCCTCAGCACCACCTCAGCCTTGGCTGCTTTTGCTTTCTGGACAGGAACCTGGGACCATGACCTCAGACAGCCCCCTGGGCCACTTGGTTAGGCAGGTTTTGTGCTAGCTGACTCCACCCATAGCCAACAGAGACAGCTGGAGATGGGCATCAGCTGACCTCCGTTAGAGGAGTCAAAAGTGCTAAGACCGTGGGGCTTTCTGTACTGACACCACCCTTGGGGATACAGACGGAAGCTTGGGGGGTGGGGTGGGATGGGAAGGTGGCTCATAAGGGGGAGGGCCTGTGGCTGGGGGGGGCAGCAGATTGTTGGACCATACTGGCCCTGCAGAGTGGTCTAGTAGAAGCTGTGATCTAACTATTTCAGGACTTCAAATACCTGGGGAGGGCAGGCATCTGAGCCATCCCACACAGGAGTGATGGCATAGCTTGCAACCTAATGTCTCTTTGCTGCAGGATGCCGTTTTGAGGTCTTCCACAGGAGCTTTGGCACTATGGGGCTGTAGTATAATCCAGAGTGTGGGTTCCTAGGGGGTCATGCTAGATGGTTGAGTTTCTCCTGCGTTACAATAGGCCTAGGTGACTACACTGTAGTCAGAGCCAGGAGGCAGACTGCCAGGCACTGGCTCTGTGAGTTCAGCAAGCTGCTTCACCCCACTGAGCCTCCCTTGCCAGCAAGAGATAATAGTAGTGATTTTTTTTTTCAGCCAGATGATGTGTGTGAAATGCACAGCATTGGCTGTTGTGAGCATCACCATTAGTTTGTGTGACGTCTTCAGGTATGGGGAGCAGGCATGGAGGTATGCCAGGGAGGTACCAGCTGCTCTCTTCCCGACAGTGGGAGCAGTGGGCCCACTCCTTTTGAACCCCTGCAACAGGAGATGGACAGACTCAACAGTTTTGGGTGTCTCTGCTTGAGGGTCCCATTCTGGTTGGCCCATGGCCATGGTTGCAATGAAGTCCTCAGAATAGAATATTCCAGAGAGCCGTGTTGACAGTCAGACCGTCTTCTGTTGGAGAACACCTTCACTGCCCACTGGAGTGGGGATTCTGGAATGCTGAGCTGGGCTGAACTGAGCAGTGCCTGCTGTTCCCATCTAAGCAAGAAACCATACAGGCACCACTTCGTGACTCACGACACGGGGGTTGTGTGACCATGGGCACCACCAGCTGCTGTCTGGGGCAGAGCCCAGCTCTAGGGAGATTCTCTGGACCAATACTCCAGTTTCCCTTAGGGCTTTTCCCCATCCCTGGAGTGAGTGGCATTTTGTGTTCAGCAAGGTGGCTCAGTCTTAGCAATTGTTATCATAAGGGAGACAAGAGTCAAAGTCTAACACTCTGGTGGGGTCAGAGAATACTGAGGGGGAGAAGAGGCAGGGAGTGACACAGAATGCAGCTTTTTAGTTTTTTCCTTAAAAATTATTGTTGTCTGGTGGTGGTGACACACACCTTTAATCTCAGCACTCAGGAAGAAGAGGCAGGTGGATCTCTGTGAGTTCAAGGCCAGCCTGGTCTACAGAAGTGAGTTCCAGGATAGCCAGGGCTACACAGGGAAACCCTGTCTTGAATAAAAACAATAACAAAAATATTTTTAAAATTCCTTTAGCTTATTAGTGTATCTGTGTGTGCAGCAGACACCACAGGCTGAGTGTATGTGTGTGTGCAGCAAACGCCAATTGCAGGCTGTGTCTGAAGGCCAAAGAACAATTCACAGGAGTTGATTTTCCCCTTCTACCATGTGGGTCCCGGGGATTGAACTCAGGTGATGAGGGTTAGCAGCAAATACCTTTACCCATTGAACTATCTCAAGAGCCACATTTTGGTTTCTGCTATCATTTTCTGGTTCCTTGGAGTGTGCTGGTGCTGCACCAGGCTTGTTGAATACTCACTCTTAACACTGTACGGTGTAGGCGCTATCATTCCCTTTTTTTTTTTTTGGTTTTACGAGACAGGGTTTCTCTGTATTGTTTTGGAGGCTGTCAGTCCTGGCCTCGAACCCACAGAGATCCGCCTATCATTCCCATTTTATGACTACCGGGTTCAGAGAAGTTAATTGCCTGAGATTAAACA